TAAAAATCACACAAAAAAAAAAAAAAAAAGAATGGAGAAGAGATTGCTGTGTGGCTATCCCTCCTGGGGGAGGGGATGATTTTTTGCTTTCTGTCTCTCTTGCAAGTACACACACCCTATAGCAAAAATCCCTAAAAGAAAAGAAAACTGGAAGGTCAGAAGTCAGATGGATAGAGTGGGCCCTTGTTTTGGTAAGAAGTTTTTCTTCTCAGTGCATTTGTATTGAGATAGAGTGGGCCCTTGTTTTGGTAAGAAGTTCTTCTCAGTGCATTTGTATTGGGGTTTCAACTTTGTAAGAAAGGAAAGGTATTTTGTAGACATAGGATGGTTAAGAATTAAACCAAGAGGACAAGCTGCCATCTCACCTGAGCAAAGAAAGATTATTGTATTTTCCTAGGTTCATCACTCTATAGCTGTGCCCTTAGGAAAGTCATTTCAAGTCTTCCTGCCTCAGTGTCTTCATGTGTGAAACAGGCGTTTGGACTGGATGAATGTCCACTAGGACTATGTCTTGCTCTCACACAGCAGGGCTGACATTGATCCCTGCAAAAGTCCAAATGGTTCTGAGAACAAAGGCAGGACATGTGTAACCTTTGCTGAACTCATTCCATCCGCTGGATTTTCCCACCTTATTTTCAGCCCAAGCAGGCTAAAGATACCTCAGGCAACTAGCCAGTCATTTCCAAGAACCTACTTCAGCTTGAGTAGCAGGAAGATCAGCAAATTCCATCAACTGGCAAAAAGGAGATAACCACTTCAGTGAGTTCAAGGTCATAATCTGTAAGCCAGGGCTCAAATCTATCAGTCCCCCAATCGCTTTCTGACTAAGAAAAGAGTAAATGGGCATGTGTTCTCTGTCTCCCCTCACATGTCTGGCCAGAGGACAGAGAAGAGAAATGTGTCAGACAGAATTAGCTCAGTTAGCTAATCTGGCCAGACCAGAAGTGATCTCTTCCCCACTGACCTTTCCCATACTGAGGCCTACCTTTTCCCCAAAGTCATTTGGGATCACAGAGCTGGAAATAAGGAGTTTTGGTTTCCTTGGAATCACCTCAGAAGAGCCTCTGCCTTATCTCCAACAGGCCTTCATCTGCCTCTTTGTCTCTTAGAGAGGAGGGAGACTGTCCCACTACCCTCCTAGGAGGCAGTGAAAAGAGATGGAGACAGTGAAAAGAGAACCATGCAGCCCTAACTGCAAGACCTGAGAGGCTAAGGTTTATCACCCTGAGAACCGAGATGTTGGAGAAGGAATCCAGTGATTCCTCTGACCTGGTCCTGACCAGTGCAGGGAAGGGCCACATCCCTATGACACCTGAGTCTGAATCTAAGACTATCCACCATTCTCAATGCTCCCATTCTCCCTGGATCTCCAGTTGTGGCCTCTATTCCCCAGAGCTTAGACCCTTGTTCC